AGGTTGTCCAAGCCCATTCTAAGTTGTGCTGAGACCTATTTAGGCCCGTCCAAGCCGGAATTGTAACCCGAGGTGGCCTCTCTAAGCCTGACTCGAGTTAAACCCGAATTGCCTGAATCGTTAATGAAATTCATTTTTTTTTTGGGAATTTTTTTTAAGGTCTTTGGTATTAAAGTTTTATAGCATAAAGGACACTCAATATTTTCATGATGTCTAAGGTCCATCAACATATCCAGAGAAAATTTCCGATCCAGAGAATTTCTCTGGACAATCATAGAGAAATTTCAAATTTCTCTGGACACATCACAGAGAAAATTTCAAATTTCTCTTGAGGGACACATCACAGAGAAAATTCCAAATTTTCTCACCACTCTATGAGAACCAGATACATCATAAGGATTTTAGGCAGTCAGTTGGAACTATCAAGTGCATATTGATTGGACTAACAATAAAAATGTGAAATACTGGTGACGTAGTTTTGGTTGGAGGTCCACATAACAATCAAAGATGAACCCAATTAACACTTGGATCATGCGCAAAATATGAAAGAATCAGATTTTAAGACTGGATTCTGCAAAATCTAGCAAACAAGCTCAAATCTCACGAACTATGGAGCATAAAACAAAGTCCTAGGACAAGTGCAAGCAATGCTAAAACAAAATACCAAAATATGATATTTCAATTTCTCAGAAACCTCCCCAAAACAAAGATTACAGCCCTACATATAATAGCTAAGGAGGTTACTTCATGATGAAGCACCCAGGAATAGAAAAACTACAAAATAAAAATACGACTATGAGTGGCAATACTTCATATCTTCCTACTTAGTGCGATACGTGTTGAATCAAACTAGTAACAGAAAAAAAAGAACAAACCATTAAAACAGGCCTCTTAGAAATTTCCACCCATTACAAGCCTACTTTTTAAATTTTAAAATGACTAATGAAGCAGAATAAGTTTTAAACTTTGACTGCAAGACAAGTTACATACTCACAAGAGATAACTACTGTGGATCATGTTCAAGAAGATATGTCTGTATACATATATAGTCTGCAAATGACATGAAAGATGAAGCCTATTATCATACCCCACCAACATCAGGTCCACCACGTTTGCTACCAATAACATCTATCTCATTAATGAAAATGATAGAATGTGCAAATGATCTGGCATTAGCAAAGAGGTCCTTCACACGAGATGCAGCCACACCAACAAACATTAGAGAAAATTCTAAATTTCTCTGGACATATCACAAAGAAAATCTCACCAGATGAATTTCTCTGGATTCAACCCAGAGAAATTTCCCTCTCCACTCCAGAGAAATTTACTCAACCCTAGAGAAAATCTCCTCTAACCAAAAAAATTCACTTGTGTTGTCTGCAATTTAATGACTTTAGTGATTTGATCCAACATCATTCTTATACTACAAAAAGAGACTTGATCCAATAACTATATTTATGTCTATATTCATAATGAATTCAACAAACAAAGTAATCCTTGGAATTTTTCTGGATTCAAGACCTTGAACATTCAAATTTCTCTACACTAATTTATTTGGACTAACATCAAATTTCTTTGGATCTTTGGACTAACATCAAAAACCCTAAAACCTTTTTCAAATTTCTCTGGACTAATATTCAAATTTATTTGGATCTCTAGACTAACATCAAAAACCCTTGAACCTTTCACAAATTTCTCTGGACAAATATTCAAATTTCTCTAGACTAACATCAAATTTCTCTGGATCAACATTCAAATCTCTCTATCTCTGGACTAACATCAAATTTCTCTAAATAGTACCCCATGAGGCCTGCCCTTCGTTTTCATTTTTATGTCCCTCCAAAACGACTCTTGGTCCGACTCTATAGCTAGCAAATACTTTGCCAGTTAACCACCTGTATTGATAATGATCTGTATCGATAATGATCTTCTCACGAACAAGTTTCCCGGAACCCATTTCGTTGGGGGTCACAGATGCCATTAACTGTTAACTGTGAATCGAAAAGAGAGGAATATTACTAGCAGGGTTCAGATTTCGGAGCTACCGAATTACATTAATAAATCAAACCTTTTGCCTGCTTTGTTTGTAAGCTCAGCTGCTCTGGTAGACCACTACAACGGACTTGATCGCTGCTGGATAGGTAATGTCAAAAGAGAACAACAAGGATATGTGACTTGACCATTGACCAATTAAGCCACAAACAGATAGTTAAAAATTTTGACAATTGGGTCTGTTGAATTGAGTGATATTCTGAGAGAGAGAGAGAGAAGAGAGAGAAAGAGAGAGAGAGAAAGGTGAAGGTTTGAAGTCGTGAGGTATATCAAATTTCTCTGTAATACATGGTGTGAGGTTGAGGGACCTTAGATATCATAAAATAATATTGTGGATCTCTTCCATTACTAAAAATGGGAGAGGGACCTCAGACTAATTTTTCTTTTTCTTTTTTGCAACTGCATTATTGAAATTTGACTTTATTTACATTTTTTTTCTATAGAAAATCATTAATATTATCAAAACAAATAATTTATATAATGTAAGAGAGATGCCGCTATAGTAGTCTTTACAATTTATAAGTGAAAATAAAAAAAGTAAGATTTTATGTTATTTATATATATAATATATATTCAATATGATTTAATAATCTAAATTACTTTAATATCATGTAATGACTAATAATTTATATGTATATTTAATATTTTTATATCTCTATATATGTATAATTTGAGTTTCGGGTTGTTTGACTTCTTTCCCCAAACCCGTCCAAATTTAATTTGGACTTTTAAATTTTTACCTAAGTCCATTCCAAATTTGAAAATATCTTGTTCAACCCTTAAAAAAATTCGAATTAAATTCGAATTACTTGTGTTAAGTCCGCCTAAATTACACCCCTAGCTTGAGCTACTTTGATGCTTGAGGCTTTAATTCTCCACTTAAGGTAGTACACCTATCAGTCAGGCCGAAAATTGGCCTGACCATATCTCCTCTGCCTATATAAACTTATTAGAATACATGGCACGTTGATACGACCCACAATTAGAAATTTAAAACTAATGCAAATGATAATGGGTCTTGTAAAAAGTATTTAGTTTGTATTAAACGTAAACCAATATTTAGAGGTATTAAAACAACTTTGTGTAACTAAATGTTTTAATATTTATGGTTAATAAATTTTTGATATATTTTCTTTTATATTGCAGATGTGATAGCGTGGAAGGACTATGGACTAATGGAGGTATTTTTTTGGGGCATGTGGACAATGCTTTTCCTTTAGATAGATATCTATTTAGTATTTGGAAAAATATTTGTAATATGTTATTTAGATATTGGGTTTTTTTTTTTTTGATCAGTAAAGAAAAATTTCATTAACAGCATGAAATTAAAGATACAGAAAGATGACATGCATCGAGAGAGATTCGGAAAGTACAAATACCCCTACTACTGCTACTCGCATATTGGGTTTATTTCACATTTTACCTCTAAACTATTGTCAAATTGTTACTTAGTTCATGAACTATCGATTACATTTACTCAGTTCCTAAAGTATATAAATTAAAGTCTATATTTAGTTATTAAATTATCGATTGAATCTATTAAGTTTCTAAACTATTTAATTCAAACTTATATAGTTCCCGAAAGATAAGTAAGAAAATACTATAGATAATTACTCTCACCCTTATAAAGGAAATTTACCACAAGGATGGACTTTTGAAGATAGAATAAAATTTAATTTTTTTTTTGAAATAAAATTTTAACTACACAGGCTCTTTACTAATTTATAATACTTATTGGTCGGTATTTTATTTTTGTAATCCTTTCAGGGACTAAATATATTTGAATTAAATGTTTTAGAGACGTAATGAATTCAATCGATAGTTTAGGAATAAATAGATTTTGATTTATATATTTTAGGAACTTAATAGATTAAATTGATAGTTTAAGAATTAAGTAGACTGCTGGTGGTGTTTTGTTGTAGGTGGTTTGGCAGACCTTGATGAGTGGCTGGGGGGTCTTCATTTTTATATCTTGTTTAGCCTCTCTGCTTTGGATTGGCATCTCACCAATTGGTGGGATCTGTGCTAACAAATGATTATGCTTCCTCCTTGGTGCCAACCTAGTTGGGATTGTGGAGTGTGGTTATGATGTTTTTGCACTTTCCTCTTTAATTGATGATTATTGTTGCTTGTATTTGCTCATTTCATCAATAAAAGTTTCCATTTTTCTTTGCTGATAAAAAAAGAAAAAAATTAAGTAGATAATTTGGCGATAGTTTAAAAGTATAAAGTATAATAAACCTTTACATATTTGGATTGTTGTTTAAATTTGGTATAGTGTAGTGAGAGGTTTCGAATTTGTTTTAATTTCATTGGATGAATATAACAGAATGTTTCGTGTTTATGGTATGAATATTTTTGGCTAAGGATGTTAATAAGGTTTATGGTATAATTGTATTTTTTTGCATTGGACGTTGTTTAGGTTTCTGGTATAAAGGCAAAGGTTATGGCATGATTGTTTTGTGTTGGTGGAAAGAAAAAAATAAATTCAGCAAAAATATTTCTCACAATATTAATATATTTTGCGACACAGTTTGTCGCAAGTTTGGTGAACTATTTGTTGTTAATTTATGACTTTTGGCAACAACTATTTTCATTGCTAAATAGTGGCATTGGTGACAAATTGTTGGTCGCCAAATGTTGACCTTTGGCGACCATTATGATCTTTGCTAAAAAAATGGGTTTTGGCGACAAATAATTTATTGCTAGATAGTTCGAATGTCCTGATTATAGTGACTTTTGGCGACGTGGTTGGAAATCTGTGATAATTCTATTTAGGGACAAAATATTTCATCATAATTAGCTACTTTTAGTGACAAGTTCCTATGTTGTCACCATTGACTTTCCTAGACAACCATTCCGCAACAAAATTATTCTTTGTTGTGGAAATGTTTGGCCATGAAATCGGACTATTTGGTGGAAAGAAAAAATGTCGCCGATTGTGTTTCTTGTAGTAGTAAAATAGATAAATAAAAGAGAGAGATTTCGAGATTGTCCTTGCATTAATTAGTACAAGTCCTTAAATATTAGCTTTCTTTACCACCGGAAAGCTCCATAATTTAGAGAGAGACAGGAAAAAAAAAAAAAAAAGAGAAAAAAAGAAAAGAAAAGAAAGAAAGAGAGTGAGTGAGTGAAAAAGAAAGGCACATTCACTGGGTGGGTAAAGGTTAGGCCTGTTGGTTGGGTTTGATGCAGGTGTCTGTGTCTGTATCTGAGATGGGTAAAGTAATGGCAACCGAGGGAAGGTTGCGAGCTTCTTGGTTCTGCAACTCAACTGTACTGTCACTGCTTCTGAGAACGCTCGGATGAGCATCATTAGCAGTTGTACCCGTTATGGCTTGGGTGGGTATTGCGTTTTCTTCCTCCTCCTCCTCCTGTTCTTTGTATTTTCCCCATAGAACTGAGTAAAGACCTGCTATAATCAACATTGACCCAACTATTCTGCAAGGTGGATTATGAAACAATATTAATAATGAAGTACGAATTATTTCATTCCAGTTAAGGAAAAAAAAAAAAAGATTTAAAAATCATAAATGTTATAGAGAAAATCCCACCAGATGTGGCACTAACATTTTTAAAAATATTTAGTGTTAGGTTTGAAAATAATACATACTAAAAGAATATGCATATAGATAAATAAAGGCATAATAATAAGATGATGGTGAAGAGGAAATTAATAATGAATTACCCTCCAAGATAAATCTTTTCAGCCAGGATAAAAGAACCCATGATGGCTACAATGATCATCGTCAAAGGGCTAAAAGCAGTTGTGAAGACGGGTCCTTTTGTCTTCATCACTAGTCCTTGGACATAGTATGATATGCTTGATGTCACTATTCCCTATACATACACAAAAAATAAACAAATTGAATGTGTGCGGACAATAATGCTATATCAACATAAAAATTATATACAGTTTTTTTAAAAAACGAATGTGATTGAATCAGTGTCTTTATGATATGAATCTTTTGGTAAATTACACCATTAACAATCAGTGTCTTTATGATATGAATCTATGCCTCTCTGGCTGTTATGCTGCTAGGCTGCTGGTTTGCTATTGCTTTGTGGTTGCACACTCATGGTCAATTTGGCTGCTATGCTGTTTGGTGTTTGGGTTGAAGCTGGTTTGGAGATACACTCTCTTGTTCATGCTGGTTTGGAGCACACTCTGTCCATCTGCTTCGCCTCACACTCTGTTGTCCTACTATGCCTTATTGTGAGGATGGGCTTTTGAGATTACCTCTGGTTTTTGTTTTTCTTCGTTGGTTTCTCACCAACTAGGAGGTTGGAGCTTTTTTTAGCTCCAAGATCCTCTTTATTGATGTATTTTTTCATACTCAGTATGTGTTTATCATCAATAAAGTCTTTTCTTTTGCCGATCAAAAAAAGATTGTAATAAGGGAGTGTCGAACAAAGTTGTGCACATGTCAACTTCTTTGTTAATGGACATGGAACTGTAATGCTTTCACTTTAAAATAAGAGGCCGGTTTCTGTTGGGTTCATTGTCATGGGTTGTCTAGTCCAGTTTACATTATGGGGCATTATTTGGAACGCACTTCGATAATTTAAATCGTTTAACGTATATGATTTGTTGAGTAAAAAATTAAATTGATTAGATATTGATATGCACATGATCGGATCACAAAATCATGCAAAAAAAAATAATAATAATAATAAAAAAATAAATTTCATGATTTTGTAATCCAATCACGTGGATATTGATATTCAATCAACTCAAGTTTTTTTGCATAAATAATTTTATCGACAAACCTATACAATGAATGGCTCAAATTACCATTAGTCCAAAATAAACTTATAAAATGTAAATTGTTCCATCCAATCTATGATCACCCATGCTCATAAAATAAAACAATAAAAAATAAAATTTGTTACGTATAATTTTATTTCTTATCTCATTTTTTTACATAAAGACACGAGTGAGTGAGTTTGATATGCATATATGAATATAGATATTGTTTATGTGCTTAGGAGCAATAAAATAAAGAAATGAAATTATTCATAGTATTGCTCTAGAAAAACGACACAAAAAATGTCAAGAGAGAGAGCATACAGCATAGACGGCAGCAAGGAGGTTCATGTCCCAGCCGATGGACCAAGCAGAGGGTTTGTGTTCCATGACAAAAGTGACAGCAATAGCTTGCAGTGTCCCAAAGAAGCACATCAGAGACGTGAGTGTGAGCTGATGCTCCTTGTATGTTTTCAACGCCGCCTTTTGTAAAATGAACAAGAAAGCCCAGGCGAGTGTTGCAATGATGAGGAAGATAGAGCCCTTGAACCAGTCCTTATCACTACTAGTACCACTAGTACCAGTACCACCACTTGTATATGATTGCCGAGGATGTACATACTTTGACCACACCATCTCCACCACGGGGCCCTTGTACAAGGTCATCAACATTGCCCCTCCCACTGTTATTATGGCTCCTACTATCTTTGCTTGGTACATTACCTTCTTCAGGTTTACCTTCTCCATCCTAGTCAAGGGCACACAAACCACTTCCTCAAACAACGAAATATACCAACTTTATTTTGTATATAATTTTTAACTGGAACAATAGGACCCTGATTATTTTTTATTTTATTTTTGAACTACTGATTATGCTTGCTTGTTTTCCATATGGATAGCAAAGAGTTCTAATTTTAATGTATTTTTTTATACTAAATCTTTATAAATCATGAAAATATACTCTAAAATTTTGGAAAATTATAGAATGTTCTCGGAGTACTATGTATTTGTACTTCTTAACCAATTATCATTCAATATGTTCCCTTATATTTTTCAATCACCCAAGACAATACCACACCTATCAACCTTTTCCACCAATCACAATGCTATGAAATATCACGTGTCTATACTCCGAACTTACTGAATAATTGTCCTTGAATTTTATCTCAAATCGTAGACTTAAAATTAGTGAAATATGAGTTACACTTAAAATAAATGTAGTCCATTAATTCACCTCTTTAATGAATTTTATGTGTTAGTAGTATTGTTATTTTTACAATGGAAAACTATCACACTTATTTATTTAATTTAATTTTCTTTTTAATAAAGAAAAGTTAGGTATCAATTCAACAACCTAATTCTTCAGACAAATCTAATAAAAATTCTATAGTATAACATTACTCATGAGGAAATAATAAGGTGGAGTTGAGGTGGTTTAAGGTGCTTACCGAAATATAACGGCCATTACAAATGTCATGGCCGGGAGCATGTTGCTCATTGCACAAGAGAAGGTCGGGGACGTAAATTTTAGACCCGCATAGTAGAAGTTCTGGTCTATCACCGGCCTATCAAATACATACATTAATCCAAACAAAAACTTTTGTTTTCATATTCATCATATATATATATACATATTGAAAAATGAGTGAGAGCACTAATTAGTGCTATCACTAATGATGTGGCAGTGGGCCTCACTAGGAATGATTTGATGTTTTGGCTTTGGTATTGTATTTTTTTTCTTTTTTTATTGAGTGCCATGTCATTAATGGTCTTTTTAGAGCTCAAAAATTAATGGTCTCTATCATTGTTGATACATATTATAGTACATGAAAAAGGACTCTTAAATTTAATACTCAAGGCAAGGATTAGAAAGGAAGGACTAACCCAAGAAGTCCAAGAACAAATATTTGAGCAAAAATAGGAAACGTAATCTTTGGTCGCTCTTTCCTGAAATTGAATGGAACATATAAATATATATATAGAAGAATCAACTGTGTGGAAGCATTGGTTCAATAAAAGTGGAAATAATTTTAAATTAAAAAAAAAAACCTCTCCAAGAAAATAGCGAAGGGAGCGATGGCAGCAGTAGCAATGGCATGGCGATAAACCACAAGTACGTAGTGGCTCATGCCTCGGTTGAGTGACACCTTAGTGATAATATTCATGCCAGCATATCCAAACTGCAATGATATCATAGCAAAATAGGGTTTCCAGTTCTCTAAGAAGCTGCCTTTGCTGGTGTTGCCACTCTGCGTCTTCATTTTCTCAGAGAAAAATATGGAAAGGTTTTCTCAAGAAAGTTAAAATGCGAAGGAAAGAAAATAGGGGCCGGGCCAGAATCAGATAGAGCAAGCAAGCCAAGCACAATTTGGTGGATGCCTAGCTAGCTACCTATCGAGAAATGCCATTGTGATAAGCCCTATTTATATTATACTTTGTACCTTAACCTTGTTCACGTGGAATCTGAATATCCAATAAAGCAAAATTCTGATTACGCATTTACATTAAACAAAATAAAAAATCAATTCTTTAGAATGGTTGGGGGTGAGGAGAGAGAGAGGATGGAATACACGTGGTCGCATTGTATTAAGGCATCTGAGTCACCAAACTAGAAAGGGAGAGAGAGAGTGTGTTTGTGTGGCTTAAGCCCATACGTACATAGACTCCATTTGTGCTAATAAAGTGATTGAGACAACCAACTTTGTTGCATGCAAGAGGCAACTCGGTTAATTAAAACACGTCCTTCTCTCACTCCATAACTATATTTTTCATCAATTATGTTCATTATATATATATATATATATATTTATATTATTATTTAGTGAAGATTGAACTTCATGTTTAAACTCACGACCTTTGATTTAATTAGAAAGACTCTTATCACTAGGTAAAACACATATTATATTATTAATTTTTATTTTTACTTATTTAAATTGTATAAGTATCGTGTGTGTCACTCGTTAATATATATAAAAAACAATTATGCAATCAAATTCTTGTTAATTTAAATTAGACGAATATGGCCTCGTATTGCCACTTCTACATTAGCTAGACTCAATTCGTGCTGTTGAAATATTTCATCTTTAGACATCAATTTTGAAAAAAATATTCAGTGTACATGAAGTAAACTTATGTGTAATTTGATTTTCATTGATTTAAACAATAAGGCATACCCACTTTATGCTGCTTTTCATGAACTAACAAAACAAATGCCACAAAGTAGAATAGTATCAAATGCTTCTAGAGCACCAAATAAATCCGTATACTTTTCTAAGAATTTAGGATAGGACAAGCTTATTACTAATTATTTTTAAAAAAATTAATTTTATCTTTATGTCAAGATAAACTAAAACAAGGGCTATATATGATTAGATTGGTGGCCTATCTTCTTTTGATTGTGTTTGGATATTAAATTTGAAAAAAAAAAAAAAATGAATGGAAAGAAAAAAAAAAGAAAGAAGTAATTTTTTTTATATTTTTTATTATCACTTATAGACACAAAATAATGAGATCCACATTTATAAATGTATGAGACCCACTCACTTATGTCTTTGAATAAGAAAATGAGGTAGTAAATATAATTATATGTTGCATTTTTTTAATTAGAATAACATTTGATCATTTGCAAATTACATGTACCCCGGGCTGGTCTTAATTGGAAGGTGATGACTGAGGACTGGACATGCAAATGAAGAATAGTAAAATTAAAATACAGAATAAAAACAAATTGTCTTGTAAGTATATTTGAAATACGGAGATCTCCTAAAGTTGCTTCATACTCCAACAATAAATTATATAAATAGAAGGTAGGGGTGTTCGCGGTTCGGTTGCGGCTGAAAAATCTCTAATTTGCCATCCATTCGTCGGATGGGTGGATTGGAAAAAATCAATCTGTATCGGTCCACCGAATTGACAGATGTGAATTGAGCGAATTGACGGATTGACGGATGGATACAAATAAGTTTGGAGGTTTAAATATTTACAAATTTTGAACATAATACAACAACTTGTCAACATTTTTTTTGAATAACAATCCAACCTAATATAACGAAATGATTATCAAGTAAATTGTCAAATATTAATAATAAATACATATAAGAAAATCATGTATTATCAAAACTATTTCATTACTTATTTTTTTTTATTTATTGAAAAACTATTTAATTTGATTTTTTTTAAAAAAATTACAAAATTAAGTCATTTATTTTTCACACAAAAATACTTAATGTCAACCCTTGCCATTTGGTAAAAGGATTTCTAAATTTAAAATAAATTAAAAACATAGCAAAATATCTGAACTTTTTTTTAATTAAAAACATAAATTGAATAACTAAACAAATTAAAAATATAAAATCTTACAAATTATTAGAAACGGTGTGCAAAGTCTTGAAAACACAATCCTGGATGCAATGGCATCTTTTTAGTGTCTCATCAAGTCCTCTGGATTGTAAGTATCACATTTCAATTCTCATTAAGAATCTCGGGGAATAGACAATGAAACAAAGAGGAAGTATCTTAAATGGTCCCAAGGAGGAACTACAATAAGAGCAACTATTACTCTGCTGCTATTAATCTGCCTGTATAGCTATTTTTTTGGCTACTGCTATTATTCTATTGTTATTTCTTTTGATCGGTTTCTCATCAATCTTGAGTTATTATTTGTATATGATTGTGTTCCCTTTACGGTACTATCCTAGTTGGAATCGTAGATGTTAACTATGATGCTTTTGCTTTTTCCTCGCTTTGTTGATGTGATTTTCGCATATATTGTGCCTTTGACATCAATAAAGCTTTTGTTTTTGCTGATAAAATAAAATATTAGGGGTACTCGCAATTTGGTGGTTCGGTTGAGGCTAATTGAACCTCAAATTCGCCATCCGTCCAAAATTAGGCAGATCGAAAAAAAATTAATTCGCAATCGTCTGCTCGTCATCACACATTCGTCCAAAATATGGCGGATTGATTCGGTTCGGTTCGGTTCGGACGGATCAAAATATTCACTTCTCACCCCTAATAGAAGGGCATGCATTTCTCTATCTGTTTTTTTTTTTGAACGGCAGAAAGGAGCTTTATTGATGATTTTTTTTTTGATCAGCGAAGAAAAAGGAACTATTATTGATGAATACGGAAAGAGAAATACATCAATAAAGAAGACGAGGAAGGGGGGTGCAAAAAGCATCATAGCGGAACAAAACAATTCCAACTAGGTTGGCACTGTTGAGAACGCCCAATCATATGCTAGCATACCGCCAAAAGATGGTGAGTTGGTGAGAAACCAACCACAACAACAACCCACACCAAAAATACAAAAAAACAACCAAACCTAAGTCATGCCAAATCCAACAGATAGGAATACAAGAACCAGCCAAAAAGCAAATTAAAACCAACAATAAAGCCCTCTGCTGGAGCATCCAGGCAGCAGACCACACACCATTATTCTTGCAGCAGCTACCAGCAGAGGATGAAAAAACTACCAACCAGCCACCATTCATCCAAGCACAGCCCACAAAACTCCTTTGCTGACAGAGAGCATATGACACTCAGAAGGCCTCTGCACTGCCTTCACAAACCAGAAGCTAGCTGATACATACCACTCTGCAACAATCTGCTAACCCATCTGCTACCAGTCGCACTGCTACCAATCAGCAGAGAATGATCTCTTCTTCCTTGTTTCCACCAGCAAACCATATCAGCTAACCAGTAAAAGATGGGCATAACCTCATAGCAATACAAGCCAGATTCTAGAACAGGCAGTAGGACACAGCAGCAGACCAAGGCAGATTCTAGAACACTTCAGTAAGGAGCACCTGCAATGTTAGATTGAAGGGCACTTCTGTTCAACCCAGATTTATTTAGAGCTGACTTTGCAGCCTATAACCAGAGCAACTCTGAACTGCCTAGCCAACTTTGAAGTGGCCAACTCTGAACTGCCATGACCATTTGGCCAACTCTGAACTGTCATGACCACCAAACATACCAACAGCCATCCAACCAAATACACTTTTTCAGTCAACCTCCATTTCAAATGCAGAATTTCACCTGTGGCAGGTTAAAGACCAAGTCATTAATAGAAAGCTCCACCTGGGTTGGTGACGCTTTGAGCCACATAGCTACATGAACCTTCACTATTTCACACAGGTCTTCCAAGTTTGGTTGAGAGCCATTAAAGATGCAATCATTTCGATGCTTCCATGTAGACCACAGGACAGCCAGAGAAGAACCTTTCAAATTTTCTTTTCCAACTTCTTCAATCTACAACCATCCCACCAATTCAACAGTCCATTCACTGAACCTGGTAGCACCCATTGCATACCCCACCATCGGACAATGTTGGACCAAAGCAACCAAACGAAAGGACAGTACAATAGAATATGTTCCACAGTTTCAATCTCATTGTGACAGAAGACACAATCCAGATTTACATTCCCTGTTAGAATACCAATTCTATGAAGGAAACTCGAAGTTTTAATCTTACCCAGCCAAGCCATCCACCCAAAACATTGAACTTTTGGAGGAGCGAAATTATTCCAAATTGAAGCAGTCACTGGTAGTATAGGCCCCAGGTGTGATTCACTCCAAAGATATACTGAGGAGACAGAGAAAGTATTAGATGGGTCTGCACCCCAAATGAGCTCATCAGATCTGGAACTGCACAGAATTAGTGCAAAATTCAGCAAATGAAAAAGTCTGTTAGCTTCTTCCTCCTCCCATACCAACAGCGGTCTTCTGAAGTCCATATTCCAGCCACCATTCTCTTCCCTTTTTTCGAAAAACACCCTTACCACACCATTTTTATCATTCGATAAGGAAAAGAGCCTTAGGAATTCCTCAATTAGGCATACATTACGCACCCACTTGTCTCTCCAAAATCGAACTCTTCTCCCATCCCCCAGAACAATCTGAGCATTAGAAATATAAAAGTGGTGCAGCTCTGGATTGGACATTACAGCTTGAATAATATCCGACGAGATCTTGGATTCTCTGCCTATTAACTGTGGTGCCCATCTTCCATCCAATGACACATACTTGGAGCAGATCACTTCCTTCCAAAGGGATTTATTCTCTACACCAAATCTCCACCACCATTTCAGCAAGAGACATTGATTGAAACTTTTTATCCTCCTTAACCCTAACCCACCTAATTTCTTATTTTTAGAAACCACCTCCCACCGGACCATATGTATTTTCCTTCTAAGATCGGATCCGCCCCAAAGAAATGCAGATTGTATTCTCTCAATTTCCTTTGCCACTCCAGTAGGGATTCTAAACAGTGAAAGATAATAGATGGGCAGATTAGACATAACCGATTTAATAAGAGTTAAGCGACCAGCAAAAGATAACAACCTTCTCTTCCATGTGGACAATTTTTGTTTGAACTTATCAAGAACAG